CATTGTCAGAAAAGTGAACTGGGCTGTGAAGTTTTAGCATGTGCATGTTCATGCCAATCAGCCAGACATTTTCTGTAAATATTTTTTAAGTTGAAGGAAATAACGAAAGTGATGGTATTTACATCAGGGTTAAATGGATAATTATTTCCTGCTGCAATAAAATTATTTCTTTACACAAGCAAATCTGACGTGCCTGCTGTATTCAATGTGTATCATTGCAGCTGCATATTCAAGTACATATTAAGTGAAATGGATTTCTCTCTGGATGATATTACATTTGTCCATTTAATTATGACTAATGCAAAGTTTCCATTTTGTTTAATTTTCTTATTGATATTTAAGCTTTGACATAAAAAATGTTATGAGGTATGAAAGACTTACCTTAGAAATTGAAAAATTTAGAATTTCTTTAAAGTAAGAGGGCAAGCAGGTAAGAAAAGTATAAAAACCCCAATTGGTACAAAAGTGTGCCACAATGATGGCCCAAACAGCTGGTGATGTCCATATATGACACCAAGGGATGCCATAATTCTGTAAAGAAAAGAATGGACATAATTTAAAAATCAGTGAGGGACACTGAAGTGCCACAATAGGTGGCCAGCTGAATTGTGTCAGCTGAAACGTGTGAGTTTAAGGTCTCTGAAACAATTCAGGTAAAGAAAAAAAGTTGAAGTCTGTGCTCAAATCAAATGGCCCTAGCTTTTCCTGATTTCCTGTGGTGACTAGGAGTCTTACTGCTCCCCCCTGGATGAGATGCCAGTCCATTGCAAGGTTAGCCCCCTGCAATTCATTAGGCTTTCCTGAAAATTTGCCTTTACCCATTTATTTTCCAGGGTGGAGAGAGTTAATATTTACTCTGAGAGAAAAGCGTTTTGCCAAAGAACACAACACATTGACCAGGCCAGGTCTCAGACCCAGACCTCTCAACTGGAGTCCTGCTCCCTAACTACTATAACCCTCCATGTGTCCCATGGAAAAATTCAAACTCACATACATTTCTGCTAAGGGTACACACACAAAAACAAATTAATCAAAGTCTGAAGTCTGGAATACAAAGCATACACTTTGATAATAAAGTAAAACAACACTTATTTGCCATACTCTTTTCTTGTTGTCCTGTCCAGAACCTATACTTGATATAATGTAATCTCTCTCGATCTTAGATATTCTGGGGTGATTTGCTGGTTTTTCATGAGCAAAGATCATCCAAATAATGAACCAAAGAATACCTAACATTCCTATAAACAACAAAAAAGAAATTGTTAAACCTTTTACAAGTACTGTAAGCATAGTAAGCATATTGTCCTTATTGTTCTCTTTGCATTTCCTGAGGTGCTGACAAAGAGAATTTGTTTAACAATCAAGAGCTTAGATTTTCAGATGGTGACCATTCCCTTTATTCCTAGTGACCTGCTAGTAAATTTAAAGAAGAAAAGGTTAAAGCTGATTCAAATTTTTACCCCATGAGATCCCCAACTTGGACATTGCAGTGACAACTTCTCCATATTCCCAATTTAAATTGTTTGCAATTGATCCATGCTATCTAATGAAAATTACTTCAATTGTATTTCCATCGTATGATCGGAATTAATCATGAACAAAAATCGTTTTTTTACAGCTATATAAAGCTGGAATTTTTTACCTAACAGTGCTGGTTCTTGTTGGTTACTTTAGGGGTCCCATGATATCCAACAAGAAAACTGTTTCCCATCCCAAGTCTCTGAGCAAGCAAATGACAAAGTCTACTACATCAGAGGGTAACAGTACAGTGTTACCTATGAATTTTGGTGTAAATTCTTGTGCTCTTACATATGATTCATCAATACAATGGCAATTTATTTTTTCTTCAAATGTCTTTGTTGTGATATATATTAAGAAATCACAACTGATTCCACCGGAAACAATCAAGTTTGTTTCCCCAACTCTAGTCATTAAGCGTTTAATATCAATTAATACAAACTTGTGCTTGAAACTAATGAGCTCAATTCAGAAATCAAAAGATGTAACTTTTATCAGCGTATTAATCAAAACTATAACAGAATTCTCGAACATGATTGGTTGTCACCAGTCTGATTTGAGCACTGATACGTGTCATGCTTGTAATTGGACAGTGTAATAGGACAGTTAACATATACCATGACTGTATAAGTGGACAGTTACGATAAGTTAGTCCTGCGTCACTTGTCACGTTATTAATGTTTCCTTATTGGCTCATAAAATATAGTTGTTGTGGTTTACTGAGTTTGTAGTTTACATGTCATAACATGGTGTCAGGATTGGGATACATTTTTTGAGGATTCTGCACCCTTTTTCGAAAATTAGTCGCCGAAGGTGCCTTGCCGATACTGTTCCCTTCTATCGTTCGTAATTTCAAAGAGAATCTTGGGCTCAAAATGTGAGAAGAACTCAAGATGCCGTCAGACAACGACCACGTGGAGTCGGGGGG